CTTCAAAACATCTCGGTGCAGGACCAGCACACAGACGGCACCAGAATTCCAGTCAGAGACTCAGAAAGCAACCACGACTGCATCTCCCATCTTCTCCTAAGTGCATTTAGTGCTGATTAGATGACCTTGGCGTGACCCCGCCACACACACACCATAATCTTTAGATCTGAAAAAAATTAGTGACTCCAGGTAAGAAGATGGATTTTGTGATGGGGCCAGTAGGAGGCATGGTGGTTAGGACCTTGGATTCCCACTTGGGCAATGACGGTTCAAGTCTTGGACCTGGCAGCTTGCTTTCTCGCTCACTCTTTCTTTCTGGTGAGTATGTGCATCCTATAGCAAATTTAAAATAATAATAATAATATATAAAATTAAATAATTTTTAAAGAGATTTTTGCTATAAGGCTCATGTGCTCACTGGAATGACAGAGAGACAAAATGTGAGAAGTCACCCCCCCCCCCACGGGGTGATTTTTCACTTTCTGTCAGGATTTTGGCATGTATGCAGACGTACCAGAAATGAGCTTCAAGCTGCCGGGTCTGGGACTAGAACTGAGGTCAGCTATGTGGGAGTCCAGTGTCTTAACCACTTTGCCACCTGCTGGCTCTCAACAAATAATTCTTTAAAAAATAAACCACTATGTATTTTGCATAATTAGAAAAACATGGCAGGGGCTGGACAGTGCCACTAGGGAAAAACACCACGTGCTGGGAGGCTGGCCGTGTGGGAAGGTTTGGGTTTGTGTCCGGAAACCTTTGAGGGGGTTATTGGGGCTGCCTAACACTGGGGGAGGACTGCTGCATTAAGACACTGGGTGGGGGGCGGCAGGTGGTGACATGGCAGTTAAGGTGCTGGACCCCCACGTGGCTGACCACGTTCAAGTCCTAGACTCAGTGGTTTGAAAATCACTTGGGGCACGTTTGTGTGTGCCAAAATCTCAGGAGGAGAATGGAGAAGGGATTGCGGTGTGGCCATCCCTCTCGGGGGTGACTTCTCACTTCTCTCTCTCTCTCCAGCGATGGCCCTATGGGAAAAACCTTAAAAACAAAACAAAACAAAACCTTGTTGGGGTGCTCTTTCTCTATCTCTTTCTCTCACTAATGGAAGAAATAAACTTTTACCAAAAAGGAGAAGAGCAGCTTATCCCAAAGCAACATTCTGCCAACAATAGCTGATATCAAGTTATAAGAGCCGTTCATGAAGGTTGTGCTGACTAGCAGATATCGTGTAAAGCTGTCACGCAGGCCACTTCCTGGGCTGTGTGCAAACCCCCTGGTGGTGTTTTCCTTTGGCCTTCCTGAGCGAGCCCAGTCCTGGGAGGACTGTGCCACCCTGGGAGGACTGTGCCACCCTGGGAGGACTGCGCCACCCTGGGAGGACTGCGCTATGGTGGGCACCCCACGGTGGCCATCACGTCTTGTACTGCTGTCTGCTGGCCCCCGTGAAGTAATTTTCTACTAGGCTAAGTAGACCATAATTAAATGTGTGGGACTATATCTACCTCAAAGCCAAATGAAAATAACATTGAGCTCTCTAATGTTTAGGCTGTATCTACCTTTTTAGTTAAAATACATCATTGAATCATCTATACTTTAATAAGATCAATCTATTTTTTTCAATCACTTTTCCAGAAAAGAAAAATCCGAACTCTACCTCTCTTTCCTGTTCACCCCATCCTCAGGTTGGGGGAAGGCCTACCGTGTCTGGAAGTTTACTGTGATGCTGGAACTGCGAATTTTGCAACATAATATGTTCTTCCTCAAGAGCTATGTCTATACAACCAGACATCGACTTCAAAAGAGCTTGTTTTATTAAGCATAAGAAGTTACAGAAACATGCCACTTCAGAGATCCTCCTGTTCTGGGAGGGCATGTAAGATCAAAGGCATTTTTCTCTCTTACTAGCACTTATACTCAAAGGCCTAATCCTTTAAGCATGTATTTCTTTTCTTCTTTGAGAGCAAGATCTTCGCTATAGGGCACATGCACTTACCAGAGACAGAAAGCGAGAAATCACCCCCTCCCAGGGGCATGGCCACGCTGCAGTCTCTTCTACTCCATTCTTCTCTTGGGGTTTTGGGCACGCACACGCACACACATGCACCTGGTGTGTTTTAAGCTGCGCGGGTCCAGGACTTGAACTGTGGTTGACTACATGGGAGTCCAGCAACATAACCATTACGCCACCTGCTGGTCCCAAGCAAATACTCCTTTTACTGAATTAGTTCTGTCCCTTTACTTCTTTTCATTCTCAGAGGGCCCATGCACTCCCCAGAGAGGGAGGAAAAAGCACCTCCCAACGGGGCTGGCCCCAGGGCAATCCCCTCCCCACTTCCCCATTGCCACCCACGCACTCATGTCCTGGTGCATCTTGCAGGCCACCAGTACCTGGATTAGAACAGCACTGTCTAGTTCTTTTCCTTCGTAAAACCACAAGGCGTGGTCGTGGTGGAGCCCCATCGCAGCACCACCATGACCCCAGTACTGGGCGCCATCCAAGGCTGGGCTCAGTTCCTGTGGGTGTGTGCACGCCGGCAAGCCCGCGCCATCCTGGCTGGCCGGGAGGGCTGGGCAGAGCTGTGGAGGGGCCCTGGGAGGGCGCTGGTCTTTCTCCCATGCAATACACTTAAGGACTTGAGGACAAAATACCCACAAGGTCGACATCCCGTTCTTGGAAAGACTCTCCAGTTATGTGGCACGGGAGTCACTTACTGATTTTCATGTATTTAAAATACTAGCCAAGGCTCAGCCTCTGTGGCACAGCGCACAGTATAAACGGACAGAGCTGGAAGCCACACGCAGACAGTGGTTCGAATCCTGTCCCAGCTGGCCTGACCGCATACTGCCCAGTGGCCTAGAGGAAGAGGATCATGACACAACAAAGCAAGTGCTCAGTGCCACCCCGTGCACCCACATCCCATCATGAGTTTTATTTTAATTTATTTGTTGTAGGGCACGTGCACCCGCCAGAGAGGGAGAAAGTGAGAAGCAGTCCTGGGGGGAGACGGCAAGCTGCGATCCCTTCTCCACTCTCAGGATTTTGGGCACAGCACGTTTCTCTGGGGCCAGGATTCAAACCACACATTTGGCCACGTTTGACCCAGCTGCCTTAAACTGCCACGCCACCTGGCTTTTTTTTTTTTTTTAACTAAAAAAATAGCGAATACCAGATGGATGTTTTACAAGGGCCGGGCCAGCTCAGTGGTGCGCTACTGAAGGAAAATGGGATGCACATGGAAACCGAGATGAGGCTGCGGTGCCCGTCACATGCCAGGTGCACGCGCGGTCCTGCCGGGAAAGCCTGGAGGTGGGGGCTGCAGCGTGAGACCCAGTCGAGGGTGTTTTTATGATGAAAGAAACTAGGAAAGAAGTGCATTTCATTTACACTCAGGCCATCGAGATGTGGGGACTTCGTGGGAGTTTCCCGACAGTCACGTGTGTATCCAGGCAGAGCTGCCCGGGTCACCGCCCACGTTTATCCTCCATGGCCTGTCAGCACACCAGACGTAGAAGGATGCCCTGAGCTGCGGGGCGAGAACTGCCGCTTGGTTTATGATCGCCAGGGCCAGAGCGCTTCCGGGTTATTCCTTAACGATAGCTGATGCTGTATTACCATCACGGAAACCCACCCACCCCAGGGCCCAAGGTCACAGTTACGCAGGAAGGACCGCCTCTGAGCACTCTTTCTGCCTTTAAAATAAACCCCGAAGACACCAGGCAAGGAGCTGTGATGGGGACCGGCAGCTCTGATACTTAGCTGAAGGCCATAAGGACCTTTGGATCTTTTCCAACCACTTTTTCCCACCATTTAAAATAAAACAACTCACCTGAGGTGAGGCCAGCAGATGGTATAGTAGTTGCATCACTCGACTCCCCCATGGCCGACCGCAGTTCGAGTCCCAAGCCCAGTGGCTTAAAACTTATGCCAGGTACGTGTATATATGCCTAAGATCCAGGGAAGAGAATGGAGAAGGGATTGTGGCAGGGCCATCCCCCCAGGGGGTGACTTGTCACTTTAACTCGGTCTCTGTGTGGCAAGCACATGTGCCCTATAGCAAAAAATCTCTTTAAAACAAAACTAAACTGAACTCACCTGGAGCCAGCAAGTGGTGGTTGGGGTTCTGGATCTCACCTTAACCACATTCTAGTTTGAGACCTGGACCGGGTGGCTTGAAAAACAGGCAGAGCGTATATGCATGCCCCAAATCCCCAGAGAATGAAGGTGAAAGGATTGTGGCAGGGTCTTCCCTCCTGGGGGGTGATTTCTCACTTTTCCTGTTTCTCTCTGGCGAACACATGCACCCTGTGGCAAAAATCTAAAACAAACAACAAAACACTCATCTGAGAGCCACCCATCCTGAGTGGGAAGTGCAATCTAGTGTATTCCATTAAGATTAAAGACAGTAGGTTCTGTTGGGATTTGAACATCAGTTTTCCCAAGTTGAGGTATTTCACAGATGGTGCAGAATCCAAACCTGAGGCAGACGGACACTTTGTCTTTCCACCGTTGAAACCCCTGTCCACATCTAGCACCCTTATTTCTTGGCATGCATTTTGCTCCAATTGATCTAAGCTGATGGCAAAGAACAGGAAGAAACGAGACAACAGATTTATGGCCTGTTAACGTTAGTGCTTCTGAGCAGTGTGGAGAGGCCAGAATGACCCCAGGCTGACCATCCCCTTGTCCCCACCTACCCCCTGCCACTATGCCCAAGAGAAAGGTTGACAGGGACGCTAGCAGGGATAAAGCCAAGGTGGAGGACAGACCACAGAGACCTGCAAGGCCTCCCCTCAGCCAGAGCCCACTCCTTAAAAGGCTTCTGCAGGGACCAGCAGGTGGCATGGTAGTTAAAGTGCTGGACTGCCACATGTCCAACCATGGATCAAGTCCCAGACCCTACTGCTTGAAACTCACGCCAGGCGCGTGTGCGTGCATGCCCATAATCCCAAGAGCAGAGTGGAGCAGGGATTGCAGCGCGGCCGTTGTCCCTAGGGGGTGATTTCTCCCTTTCCCTCTCCTTTCTCTCTCTGGTGATTGCACTGTCCTATAGCAAACAAAAAGCCTCTGCAAAGGGAGAGAAGGTCCCGAAGGCAAAAAGGTAGAAGCTGACACTAGCAAGGATGAGAAAAGCCTGCAGAAAATGGAGACCCAAACAGACCAGGAGGAACGGGGCGGGCTGCACGTGTGCCAGCTCTGGGCTTCTGCTGACAGCAGTCCGGAGTTTCCTTTTACTTACGGAGCTTTTTGCTATAGGGCACGTGCACTAGCCAGAGTCAGAGAGTGACAAATCAGCCCCGGGGGGCTGGCCATGCTGCAATCCCCTCTCCTTTACACATACACATGCCCAGCGTTGTTTCAAGCCACCAGGTATGGGATTCAAACCACAGTTGGACATGTGGAGCCCAGCATCTTTGCTGACCCTGAAGTTTTATAAAAATGCAGGATCTTGTTGAATTTTTTTTTTAAAGCCTGTTGCACTTCGGGGTAGATCTCTTCCCCTCCTAGTTGAGAGCCTTCCTCCTCGCTCCCAGGGCAGGACTCCCTGACTCACACAGCCATCTTGGCATGAGTGCCTGTGCTGTGGAAAAATTGCTTTTTTGTCCTCCTCTCCCTCCCGGCCTTTAGCCTAGACTGGATCCGCTGGGACCTGACCACGAAACTCCGGTTACCAGGGAACCAGGCAATCAGGACTTCCCAGCGACACCACTGACAGGGAGTTTCTCAAGAGCAGCGGCTCCTGTTCCCCACCATGACCTTCAGGCAGATGATGGCGCCAGGGTCCCCAGACTCGGGCGGCTCGTGAAACGCAGTTGAGCGCCGTGCACAGTGAGGCCTGGCAACCCTCCTGCAGGCCTCCCCGGTTCAGAGCTCTGATGACTAGGTTTAGGGACTTTCTGGGGGTTTGAAAGCTGTGTATTGGTAACGACTGTCCGTGTCCTGCCTGAAACACCATGGTTGTTCATGAAAACAAAAACGTTTTGTAGTGGCTTTCACGGAGAATGTCCAGAATGGCTTAGCTGGTTCAGAGTATGCCGAGGGTGGCCGATGTCAGAGCCCACCTTCTCAGCTCTGCTCACTCCTTGTGGGTCACGAACTTCCGAGGACCAGGCATGAGCTGGCGCCCGCAATGCCGGGACTCGTACCCACTCCTGCTGCCGGTGGGAGAGAGCTCTCTCAAGCACGGAACTGAAAGCCCTTCCCTTGGCCTTTCCATGCGTTGTGTGGCAGGGCCTCAGTCACAGAAACCAAGCGGAGCCTCCACCCTGAAAGGAATGCGTGAAAACAATAGCAATTGCAGCATAAGCCCCGTGAGGGGGCAGCGGGGTGCGCAGGATTCCTAGAGAAGGTGGCATTAGAGAAAGGACAAGCAAATGTCACCCACCAAGTCCCCCGGCAGGCGTGATTAGGTGATGGGGACGGAAGGCCAACACGAAACACTTGAGGGGTCTTCAGAAAGTGTATGGAAAATGGAAGTCGGTCTGAGTTTATTTTGGTGCAATAAAACTGAAATCCATTCAGAATTGGGCAGGAGGCTGGGGCAGTTAGATACCACATGGCCAACTTCACAGTTCAAATCCCGGACCAGTGGCTTAAAAATCACGCCAGGTGCGTGTGCTTCACACCCAAAATCCTGAGAGGAGAATGAGAGAGAAGGGATTGTGGGTGGCAACCCCCCCCCTCCCGAGAGAGGTGGTGCTTCCTCATTATTCCTCTCTCTCCGTCTGCTGCTCTCTGGTAAGCACACACACCCTACAGTAAAAATCTAAACACAAACGAACAGGTGAGGACTGAGCAGCAGACGTGTGGGGATGTCTAGTGCATTTATGAACTGAATTGATTCTTATTTCACTGTTCCATGTCCATGTCGAAGACAAACAGCACATCTCCAACCCTAAAGCTGCCCTGGGATCAGAACAAACAGCTGAGAATTTTAAGTCTCATAACCCTGTGCTTCTTCCTGAAAAGCATACAGGAGGTGTACTTTACTTTAAAAGAATTATTTAACTTTACTATTATTTATTTATTATTATTATTTTCCAGTTTTGATCAGAGAGAGACAGAGAAAGAGAGAGGGAAAGTGAGAAAGCAAACCACCTGGTTGACTTGAATGGCAGTCAGCCATGTGGGAGTCCAGCACCTTTAACCCCCACACCACGTGCAGGCCGCAGGAGATGGACTTTAAATGAACCGAGCCCCAACTACCGAAAGTGTCAAAGTGTGGACGTATACCAGAGAAAGCAGGGTGATAGAGAGCTCTTACCAGACACTACGATTCTTTTACCACACGACCTCAGCGAAGTCACAGCCCCATGAAAAGGAAAAAGAGATGTTCAAGTTTGCATACTATGTAACATGAAAGCTTCCTTCTAAAATCCCGGTGGGAATTTAAGCAGGACCTGATAAAACAAAGCCTGAGATGGGTGAGACACCGTCGCCACCCAGTGTTAAGCAGCCTTTACTGCACCCACATTGTAACTGCAAAAGATCAGGCAGGGATTCTCGGCAATTACAGAATATAGCTTTATTTATTGAATTTCACAAATAAAACATTTACAGTCCATATAAGTTATTTTCTTCTCTAATTTCATTTCATAACACCTGAGTTATTTTTAAAAAATACTGTGATGGAATTGCAGAACTGTAAAGGAAAACTGAACAATAAAAACCTAACCTCTCTCTTTTGTGACCATCAGTCAAGTTCCTTTAAAGCAGACTTCTAGTGTGCTACCATCCCTTTGGGAGAGGACTTACTAAAATGGAGAAGCCCTCTTTTATAAACTCAGGAAAAACCTTGAGGGTCAAGGGCCTAAGGCACCCTGCAGGCCAGGGGGAGGTGAGGAGCCCAGAACCCCGTTCCTGGCTTCCGGCTCCTGCGCGTGGCCCAGGCTCCCTCGCTGACAGCAATGGCAGCTGGTCTGCTCAGGGAGAGGTCGAGGGTGAGGGTGCCGATGCCGGGGCTCGCTACCCTCAGTCTTCTTACATGTACAGATGTTCAAAACAGAAAGTTGTGACTTAAAAGTCACAACGGGATGGCCACATTTTCAGCTCATGAAGCTAATCTTGTTGCCAATGGTAACATACAATTGGTTGGATGATCCCAGAGTCTCCGCCTCTCCCAAGCTCCTGCTGGGACTGGCCACCAATTGATTTAAGGAGCATGTCCCTTTGAGCAGTTGCCCACGGGAGGAGGGTGCTGAAGTTCATACAGCTGCGCACGAAAGGGAAAGCGCCCTACTGCTCCGTATTTTACTTTTCAATATGTTAGTTAGATAAAGACTATTTTTGAGCAATTTTCCTAAACTAGAAAGCCACTTACTTGAACTTAGTCTTATTTTTAAGGAATGACAGGATCTAAAGGGAATGCTAAACTTGTACATTTAATACATCAATGAGAGGTAAGGAAAGTGACATCTTCCGGAGTCTTCAATTCCGAGCATGATTTTCTGCGAGCTCCTGATAGTAGTTTGAGGAAAATAAAACAGAAAAGACAAAACATGGTCTCACAGGTCACCATTAATTAATACAAAAAGTTAGATTCCAACATTCCAGGACTGGTTCTTTGGTAAAACTGGACCAGAACCCCATCAGGAGTCTGTCCTGATATTTAAATCTGGAGTCCCGATCACTCAAGTTTTCCCCCTCCTCCGGCCTAACTGCGAATCTCTCCACCAACAGGCCAAGGATGGGGAGGAAAACATGGAGGGCGGCACCAGCAACGTCCCACTCATGTTCTTTCCGGAAGTGTTCCTGCTAGAAGGGATGTATGCCAAGAGGAAAACAAAATAGATGACTAACGGCGGACAGTGTCTGTGTGTGGGGACAGGACTCAGGTGTCGGCCCGGCCCAGCACCGGTCAGTCACACGCCTGTCAGTTTGCGAACGCGGCCCCCAGGCTGCACCTGTGGCCAAGAAAGGCTTCTGGAGAGTCTGGCTCCCCAAAGTGGCGGAAGAATCTCACATTATCAATATGATAATAATAAAGCAATTCACCTAGTGAACCTGGAGAGGAGCTCTGGGAGGCTCCGCCGGCCGAGGCTGGCCTAGGCCTCTCTGACACCTCCATCTTCCCCCTCCCTCCGTCTCCATGCGAGTCACACCAGGCGTCCACCTCTGTTGGGTGAGGGGACCCGGAGGGCTGTCTATACCCCGCCCGCCTCCGCTCTCCCTGCGTCTGCCGTGCTCCAACCCAGGTCTTCCTTACCCTTCAGTCCCATTACTCATCCTGTTACTGATGACACTAGCGAACCCTCGAACCCCACTTCTGACACCCTCGTCCAAGTAGAGCACTCCAGCTCTGCAGGTCAGCTGGCCACCCAGCAGAATCCTGGCAGGGGAGGCAAGTCTGCCCAGCCGCCCCTAACACAAACATCTGTAATGTGCTTCTAGGAGGGAGCTAGAAAGTCTCAGAGGCGGGAGTAGGAAAGGGACACAGCGACCATGGCAAAGCCAAGTGTTTCCTTGCAGCTCCTGACCCTCCCTGTCCCCAGTGGTAACCTGGAAGAGGAGGGCCAGGCAACAGCAGCTCACGGGGCCAGCCGTGCAGTGCTGAGGTGCTGCCCCAGAAACCAGCACCCAGCGTCCCAGGAGGGACGATGAGCACTGTGACACTGCGTCTCCTCTCTCCCTGGGGATGGCCCTCCCCTCTCCCTGCTCACCTGCTCTTTTGCATCTCTTTGAGAAAAGAACAGGCAACAGATGAGGAAGCAGGGAAGGGCCCTGTCTCCCGTCCCTCTAGAACAGGTCAGTGGACACACACCAGGGTGCACACACATTCCTGGGCCCCAAACTGTGGACTCGCCTGCGGGAATTTCTCACCAAGCTATAACCACTGGCTGCACTGTGGGACAAAGGGACCAGAATCTTCCGGGGCCAGTTCCAGACAAAGAAGGCAGGTATCGGGACAGTCAGGCTTGCCTGGTAAGCCACTCAGGTTCCACGGTCCCTGTGAGGAGAGGGAGCGGGGAGGGCGCGAGGCACTGGCCAGAGCTGGTTCCCAGGATGGAGTTGACCTCTGAGCGCAGGAGCACAGTCTGTGGCCCGGTCTTTAACAGAACCGCTTCTGCCGCGGTGCTGCATGGGTGCAGAGTCCGCGGGCCAGGGCCTGGGCTGCCCAGGGCCCGACCTGCACTCCCTCTGGCTCTCGGCAGAGCCCTACCCGATCTGGATCTGCCCCGAATACATGGTGAGGACCAGCATGATGGAGAAGCCGGTCAGCAGGCCCAGGTTCTGGATGACGAAGGGGACCAGGATGCTGCCTTTCCTCTCGTCCTCCTGGCAGACTTCATTCATCTCAGGGAACTGCGGAGGGAGAGACAGGGAGCTGCAATTCCGCTCCTACTGTGCAAGGCAGGGCAATGCAGAGACCAGGGTGCCCAGCCTTTCTCCAGGTGGTCACCAGGATGACTCGACACCCAGGTAAAGCAAAGTGCTACCCACAAACATGTGGGGGCCTGGGCTGCACTCAGATGCTGGCTGGAAATAAATAGGCCCTCATAAAACACAAGCTTGTGGGTACATGCGCTTGCTAGAAAGAGGGAGAGTGTGTCCCCCACTGGGGCGTGGTCACACTGAAATACCTTCTCCTCCATGTCTCCATCCCGCTGGAATTTGGAACAGGCTCAAAGAGCCTGGTATGTTTTTCTTTTATTTTTGAGAGACATTTTTGTTATAGGGCATGTGCACTCGCCAAAGCCAGAGACAGAAATCAAGAAATCACCCCCGGGGAGACGGTCACACCACAATCCCTTCTCCTCCACTCTCCTCTCGGGATCTTGGGCACACATGCACACACGCCCGGCGTGAGTGTTAAGCTGCCAGGTCCAGGACTCGAAGCGGGATAGAGTACGTGGGAGTCCGACAATGTAATCTGCTGGTCCCCAGTCTGGTCGAGGACTACCACTGAGGTGGGTCCCGTGGGACCTGGCTCTATGTACAGCACCAGCCAGCTGCTCTACGGGAGCAGGCCCAGAAACTCACGACTGCTAACTCTGAGACACTGGGAAGGTCATTTGCTACTGGGAGGCATGGTTGAGCAATTGAGCAACTGTGTCTGTGGACAGAGAACGAAGCCACAGTACACCGTGGTTCAAGGCCTCATGACCCAGGCCAGTGAGGTTGGCAACCACAATAAAACCACCGAGTCAGGCCAAAAACACACCGACCACGGCGTAGGCTCCCTGTACGGCAGGGAACATGCGTCCATGGGGTGAGGCTGGGCCATGGTGGTCAGTGTTCTCATCATCGCGTCAAAAGTATTATTTTCAAAGGTTGTGGAAGATAACTCATGCAGAGAGCCAAAGAGCACGGCATGCCAGTGAGCAGGAGACCAGCCTCGTTTACATAAAGGGTGCCTCAGAGCAGGAACGTCTAGTACACTGAAACTTGAATGGGTACCCTGCACGCTGCAGGTCCAGCACAATGCACATTTTCAGACTCGGCCTATAACGTGAAAAGCAATTTGGTGATATGGATTAAAAGCCTCAAGCCAAGCTGGCTCCATGGCCTGGTGGTTAAGGCAGCTTGGGAAATGAGGGTGTTGGCATGCCCCAATCTGCAGAGGAGCGAGAGAAGGGGTTACAGCGCGCCCGTGCCCGTGGGGTGCTTCCTCCTCTCAGTCTCTCTGGTGGGCACACAAGTCCTCTGGCCAAAAATTAGAAAATAAAAAAGCCTAAAACCACATGTCCCTTTTGGGCCAACAGTTCCAGTAATCTGGAATTAAGGCATATCCTCTCACCAAGTAATACTGCCCTTGGGGGAAAAAGTATGCAACATGGAATATGCTATGTCATATCAAGGGAAAAAGGAACCAGGACAGACCGAACACTGCCTGTGATTAGAGTGATTTGAGAGCAGACACACACTGCAGCGAGAGACCCACACAGCAGAGTGTGTGCCGCTGTTGTTGTGGGGCAAAATGATAACGAGGCCTTTTATTTCCTTCTTCCACTCCCTCCCACCTTTCTTTCTTCTTTTTATTCACCCAAATACACCAATTCCTGAATACGTAAGGCCTCTAGACGAAGTATAACCATTTTCTTTACATATACTGATAAAAACATGAACCTTTCCTCCTTTAAAATAATTTTTTTCTGGGACCAGCAGTTGGCGTAATGGCTATGTCGCTGGACTCCCAGGTAGTCGACCGCAGTTCGAGTCCTGGACCCAGTGGCTTAAACTCATGCTGGGCATGTGTGTGCCTAAGATCCTGAGAGGAGAATGGAGAAGGGATTGTGGCGTGGCCATGCGCTCTGGGGGGTGATTTCTCACTTTCTGGTTGTCTCTTGTCTTTCCAGCGAGCACATGCACCCTATAGCAAAAACTTCTTTAAAAAAAAAAATCATTTTTTTCTTTTTGGGTGGGTTTTTTTTTTTTTTTTTGTCATAGACTGTGTGCACTTGCTGAAAGAGACAGAGAGCGGGAAAGTGGGACATCACCCTTGAACGGGGATGGCCACACCGTAATCCCTTCTCCTCTATTATCTTCTTGGGATTTTTGGCATGCACGTACACTTGCCTGGCATGATTTGCAAGCCACCAGGTCAGGAACTTGAACCGTGGTTGGCTATGTGGACTCCAGGGCCTTAACCATTACTCGACCTGACGGCCCATCCTTTAAGATTCAATGCCCCCTAAAAACCACATAACTGTACACCTCTAATAGGTGAACTGTGGAGTACATAAAGATACCTTTGCAAACCTGTTATAAAAACAAACTGCCCTGGATCAGCAGATGCCATAATGGTTATGTCACTGAACTCCCACGCAGTCGATTGTGGTTCAAGTACTAGACTCGGTGGCTTAAACTCATGCCAGGCACATGTGTGCATGTGCCTAAAATCCCAAGAGGAGACCAGAGAAGGGACTGTGGTGTGGCCATTACCCCCGGGGGGTGATTTGTCTGTCTCTCTCTGTATCTCTGGTGAGCGTACATGCCCTTGTAACAAAAATCTCTATAAGAAAACAAAGAAAAAACTACCCAACATTCTCTTTGCTGTCCCCTGAATTTAACACTGTGGCCCAGGGTCACACCTACGTGGCATAAACAGCGGAAGACTTACCATGTCAGCCAGAGCGATATACAAGAACATCCCTCCAGCCAGCGCAAAAATCCAGTTGGCAGAGAAGTGGCTGCCAGCCAGGATGCCAAATGCCAGGCCCACGTAGCAGCAGCAGGCAGAAAGGAAGTTGAAGAAGAGGGCCTGCTGGATACTCATGCCCGCGTTGAGCAGGATGACGAAGTCTCCTGCGGCGGGAGAACAAGAGGAAGGTTGAAAGGGGAGTTGTACCAGAGCTGCAAGACGGAGAGCACCTGGTGCCATCGGGCTGCTTGACCTCAGAGGGAGGCTGGTAAAAACCAGGACAGCCCAGATGCAGGACTGCAGGGGCAAGATTCAGGCATCTCTACCTCCCGCTCGGAAGTGTCTCTACGTAATAAACTGACCAGGTTGGTCCAGCCTGGAGGCTGCAAGTAATTCACGGAATTTATAAAACAAAAGCAAACAGCCTCTACAGCTGGAACATGGCAGGACTCAGAGCCGTGCTGCTGCAGTGGGGGTGAGAGAGCACAGTTGTGTGTCAGAGGAGGTCAGTGACTGGGTGGCTGGGTGGCTGGGCGGGACCTCCTCCACCAGTCCCGGTGGTTAGGGCAGGAAATGAGGCGGACAGAGGCTGCCATGGACACCCGACACGCTGTGACTGTCCACCTTGCTGTGACTGGCCAGAGAAACCTACCAGGGCAGGCCCCTGGACCTTGGGCCTCCAAGCTGTGAACAAAATAAACCTCTATCTTTATAAAATAGAAGGGCTTCAGGAGTTTCCGATTAGCCACAAGATGGACTGGACAATGACCGACTCACTGGCACGGGCCTCGCTGGTGTTTCAGTGGGTGGTGAACTAGAGGAAGTCCCTTCATCCCGACTACAAAGAGCAGCGCTTTAGGACACACTCCCAATGGGGAGGAGTAACTCGCCAGAAACAAACAAGCCAGTCACGGCGAGCCCAGACACGGCCGCTGTGTGTCTGAGCCCCAGTCCTGGCTTTTCGCACTCGCTCTGATGAAACAAAGCGCCCCCTGGCCCCTGGCTCATCGACTTCACCCCCTCCAGACCGCCGGCACCGTGCAACACTGCGAGCCATACAGCGACCAGGGTTCGGATCCGTGGTGGCCTGAAAACTAAGATGTGGAGGAGCCGGCAGGCTGGGGGACAGGCTGCATGATAACCTGCCGAGGAATGCCTTCTCTCTACCCCACCTCACGCACGCAGATAACAAAAGGGAAAAAGGTCGTTCCATCTCCACAGCTGGGGGCATGCTAACAAGCGCCGTGAGGAGGGGGAGATCAGCCACAGGGAAGGGGCCGCACCCACAACTTGGCGCACGGTGGCACGGGGGCGTGCTTACCCAGCTCGTGTGGGAACTCCTCACACAGGATGGCTACCGAGGTGCTGATGCCTTGGAAAACCGACACGGTGAAGGAGGCGCCGATGGCCAGGCCGTCAATGAAGTTGTGCAGGCCGTCGCTCAGGGTGATCATCCAGGCCAGCGTGCCGATGTCCGAGTAGTGGACGCCCTTCAGCCAGTGGCAGGCGCTCTGGGAAGCCTGCAGGTCCTACGAGAAAGCACGTCCCAGGACCCCCGAGAGTCAAAGGCTGATTCACGTGTCTCCAAAGCCAGCCTGCCTCGAGGCTCCCCGCCGCTGCGGGCAGCCCACTGACCTTGTCTGTGAGACAG